GTAGACTTGTCCCCTATCTCTTGACAAAAATGGTCCAGCATCTTGTGAAACAGGCAGCCCATCACAGTGACTTGGGATAGTTTATGGCCAAAACTGACACCCAGGGAACTGGGTTGTTGTAGGTTTTTTCGGGCTATATGGTCATGTTCTAGAGGCATTCTCTCCTGACGTTTTGCCTGCATCTATGGCAAGCATCCTCAGAGGTAGTGAGGTCTGTTGGAACTAGGGAAAAGGTTTTATATATCTGTGGAAAGACCAGGGTAGGACAAAGAACTCTTGCCTGTTGGAGCTAGGTGTGAATGTTTCAACTGACCACCTTGATTAGCAGTGATTCCGGCCATGAAAGCCTTCAACAATACCCATGGAACTGTAACAATCCATGGGTGCAACCCTTCCTTCCATTTCTTTTTCCCGTGATGACTCTTTTCTTCCTTGTAGTTGTGCCAGTGCTCTTTACCAAAGCGTTGCAAAATGTGGAATCTGAAGCCGGGGGAAAGGCCATCTTGCACTGTGAGACTTCCAGGCCCGATGCTCCCATTGAATGGAGGAAAGGAGCCGTAGTCCTTCAACCCGGTGCCAAGCATGAGATGCGCCAGAAAGGCACCACTGTTGAGCTGATCATTCATGATTTGGAGCCTGAGGATTGTGGGTCCTACACATGCAGCACTGGAGACGAGCAGTCCACCTGCTCCGTCTATGTACAAGGTGCGTTGGCCATACTTTATTTGGCTACTTCCAAAGAAAAACATGCATCTAAAACATGTGCCGATACATCAGGTTATCACTTTACAACTGTGGCAACACAGTGTTGTTTAAACTCTTACAAGTACCTCACACAAGTCACGTTTTGTTTCTCATTACTTGATATCTCGGCACACGATGACTCTCAATGAATGTATCCATCAGTATTGGGTTGCTGTGAGTTTTCTGGGCTGTCTGGCTATGTTCCAGAAGCATTCTCTCCTGACGTTTCACCTGCATCTATGGCAGGCATCCTCAGAGGTTGTGAGGTCTGTTGGAAACTAGGCAAGTGGGGAATATATGTGGAATGCCCAGGGTGGGAGAAAGAACTCTTGTCTGTTGACAAAGATGTAAACAAACAAGTGAATGCTGTAATGGATCACCTTGATTAGCATTGAATAGCTTTGCAACTTTAAGGCTTGGCTGCATCCTGCCTGGGAGAATCCTTTGTTGGGAGGTGATTAGTTGGCCTTGACTGATTCTTGTCTGGAATTCTCCAGTCTTTAAGTGTTGTTGGGGATTCAGGGCATTGTCACCCTTAGTCCCCAAAGGGAGATGGGACCGGATATAAATAAAATTTGATTTGATTTTATTATTTTGGGGGCAATATGAGGAGATATGAGGGCATTTCTTGTAGTGCTTAATCTGGAAAAAACTAATTTTTATCGTTTTTCAACCTGGGGGTCAGGACCCCTGTGGGGGTCGCGAGGGGGTGTCAGAGGGGTCGCCAAAGACTACCAGGAAACATCAGGAAACACTTTTTTCTATGGTAATAAGGGTTCTGTGTGGGAATTTTGGTCCAATTCTATCATTCTTGTAGGTTTTTCGGGCTATATGGCTGTGTTCTAGAAGCATTTTCTCCTGACGTTTCACCTGCATCTATGTGAGGTCTATGGCAACGATCTCTGAGGATGCTTGCCATAGATGCAGGCGAAACGTTAGGAGAGAATGCTTCTAGAACATGGCTATATAGGCCTGAAAAACCTACAAGAACCCAGTGATTCCAGCCATGAAAGCCTTCGCCAACTGACATGAATGTTATCAACTACCACTGGAGTCCGGTTGAGTTGAATTTTCCTTATTTTGGACTTATTTTACTATTCAACAAGCTTGGGTACCTAGCATTGCATGGGTTATTTGAAAAAGTCAATTTTAATTGTACAAAATGCATAAGGTTGTGGGTGAACTACAACTCACATCACTCCAGGTTAACCCCGAAAAACTCCATCAGTCTGTTAGGTTGGGCAAGTTTGCTCTAGATGCATCATTGGTGGAGTTCAGTGTGCTCTCTGGCTGTAAGGTAAACTACAACTTTCACTATAGTGAGTCAGTCCCTCAAACCCCTCCAGTAGGTTGAATTGGTCATGGGGGTTCTGTATGCTGAATTTGGTCCAGGTCCATCATTGGTGGATGTCACAGTTTCTCTGGATCTGGGTGAACTACAACTCCCAGAAAGGAAGGTCAGTTTTCTCCAAAGCCTTCCAGTAATCAAATTTCAGCATATCAGGTACGTGTGCCTAGTTTGGCCCAGATCCATTGGCGTTTGGGTTCACGGTGCTCTTTGGATGCAGGTGAACGACAACTTCACCAAATCAAGGTGAATTTTCCCCAAATACCTCCAGTATTTTTTCTGGTCATGGGGGTTCTGTGTACCAAATTATTTCCAGGTCCATCATTGGGGGAGTTCAGAGTGCTCATTGACTGCAGGTGAACTATACATCCCAGTACCTACAACTCCTATAAATCATGGTGAATTCTCCCCAAACCTCTCTAGTATGTTCAGTTGCTGATCAATTCCTCTGTTTGCTCTTTGCCATAGAAAATAATAGGAAAGGGTTATGGGAGAGGCAGTGGGTGGGGTCATGCAAATTCCACACCAATGGAGAGAGTTAGAAACACTGGGATGTCTGTGGTGGAGGAAACACATAAAATCTAGGATGAAATTGTCTCCATATGAAAACCTTCACTTAGGTGGTGGGTAGTATTGTGTATGTGGAAGACATTGGTAGGGTTCTTGAACATGTTCACGGTACTCACTATAACCTGCAATGTCATTGGAGGGAGGGCCATTGGTGTCTCTTGACTAGTGGGAGCTATAGCTGTTTGTGGAGGCAGGAACTTGTCTGTGTAAGTGGACACCCCAGCCACATACACATATTTATTTATTTATTATTTATTTACATTATTTCTATCCCGCCCATTTCAGCCCGAAGGCGATTCAGGGCGGTATACACAGTGGGCACAATTCGATGCCGAAACAAAATACATACATTAATAAAGCAAAAACATTCAGTGCAATTAAACATAAACGACACTGCATAATAACAATTTAAAAAGAAACTATGTCCTCTGTTCAAATCTTCATCCATTTACATTGTCTTAGCCGTTCCTGGGTCAATTTCCAACTCTAGTTTGTCTGTTTACTCCGGGGTTCCGCATGCTTGCTCGAAGAGCCAAGTTTTTACTCTTTTTCGGAAAGTCAGGAGGGAGGGGACTGATGTAATATCCCTGGGGAAGGAGTTCCACAGCCAGGGAGCCACCACAGAGAAGGCCCTGTCTCTTGTCCCCACCAGACGTGCCTGTGAAGCAGGTGGGATCAAGAGCAGGGCCTCCCCAGCCGATCTTAGGTTCCTGGGGGATTCGTAGGGAGAGATGTGTTCAGATAGATAGACTGGGCCAGAACCATTTAGGGCTTTATAGTCTAACGCCAGCACTTTGAATTGAGCCCGGTAGCAGACTGGCAGCCAGTGGAACTGATTCAACAGGGGAGTTGTATGCTCCCTGAGCCCAGCTCCTGTTAGCAACCTGGGTGCCGCACGCTGGACCATTTGAAGCTTCCGGGCTGTCTTCAAAGGCAACCCCACGTACAGTGTGTTGCAGTAGTCTATACGGGATGTAACCAGAGTGTGGACCACTGTAGCCAAGACTTCCCAAGGTACAGGCGCAGCTGGCGCACAAGTATTTTCACTTTTATTATGTGGATAGATAGATGTTAATGTGTGACCAAATTGCATTTTGCAAGATCTTATCCTCAGCCAAACTTCCAAAGAGTTTTCACTTTTCCATGCGCATCGGTTACCACAAATACTTCCCAAAGCCTCATGTATAATAGCAACATCACCAGTGGGTTTGGAAGGCAAGTATCAAGCCATTATAATTTCATAATGATTTAACTCTGTTCCAATAATGATCAATGCAATGCGTCTATGTGGGTGCGGAATATATTTCTGCATAAGTTTGGATATCAATTTTGCAAACCCTCAAAAGAGGCTCAAATGGGAGATGCTGTCAGTTTTGTAAAAGGATCTTACACCTTTGTTCTCCCTCGGTGTGCGTTCTCCCGCTCTGTTACGCAGAAGAAGAGGAACTGCAGATAGTTTCTGGTTTAAAGAACACAGACGTCTTTGCGGGGGAATCGGCCACCTTGACCTGCGTGCTCTCGCGCCCCAGTGTGCAAAGCGCACAATGGTGGCTGGACGGTTCTCCCCTCCAGAACAGCCCCCTGAACGAAATCTCTGTCCAAGATGGAAAAACCCACACGTTGACACTGAAGGATCTGGGGCCTAACGATTCTGGAATTGTGACCTTCCGAGCCGGCCCCCTCAAATCCTCCGCTAAATTATTAATCAAAGGTATTGGAATGCAATGCCAACTTTCCATCCACAAATCACACTGCTGCATATGCTTCTGGCTTCAGCTGCCCTTTAACATGATTCTGCAAAATGGCAACCGGAAGGCATGCATTAACAAGCACAATCCTGTATTTATCTGTTTTTCCCTAAAAGAGACAAAAGTGGTTTAATAGTGCCCTATTTCTTCCAATAGAATCCTAGAATCAAAGAGTTGGAAGAGACCTCATGGGCCATCCAGTCCAACCCCCCTGCCAAGAAGCAGGAATTCTGCATTCAAATCACCCCTGACAGATGGCCATCCAGCCTCTGTTTAAAAGCTTCCAAAGAAGGAGCCTCCACCACACACTTGGCCAATACTTGACCAATAAATCATGACGATGTACATCTCCCACAATTGAAGGGAGATGTTGACTCTAAGTAGGAATGTGTCCAGAGGAGGGCGACGAAAATGATCAAGGGTCTGGAGAACAAGCCCTATGAGGAGCGGCTTCAAGAGCTGGGCATGTTGGGCCTGCAGAAGAGAAGGCTGAGAGGAGACATGATGAGGGCCATGTTTAAATATGTGAGGGGAAGTCCTAGGGAGGAGGGAGCAAGCTTGTTTTCTGCTGCTCTTGAGACTAGGACGCAATGGAACAATGGCTTCAGGAAAGGAGATTCTACCTGAACGTTAGAAAGAACTTCCTAACTGTGAGAGCTGTTCAGTGGTGGAACTCTCTGTGGTGGAGGCTCCTTCTTTGGAGGCTTTGGAACAGAGGCTGGATGGCCATCGTTCGAGGTGCTTCAAATGTGATTTTCTTGCTTCCTAGCAGGGGGTTGGTCTGGATGTCTTATGAGGTGTCTTCTTCCAACTCTGTGATTCTATTTGGAAGAGGCATTGTGCACAACCATTTATGGGACCAAAGAAGAATGAAACAGCTGTGTAAATCAGTGGTTCCCAACCTTGGGTCCTCCAGATATTTTGGACTTCAGCTCCCACAATTCCTAACAGCCGGTAAATAGGCTGGGATGTTTGGAAGTTGAAGTCCCAAACACCTGGAGGACCAAAGATTGGTAACTACTGGTGTAAATGAAACACTTTAAAACTTCAAGATTCTAAGTCTGGTCCTAAGTAGAACAGAACTGAATCAATGGAACTTATATTAGCCTTGTCTGTGTTCCCATCCATTCACTGGCCAACTGTACTTGGTTTGACCCTGATGGATCAGCTTGGGTTGTTGAAGTTTTGGGCCTTCAAGTCACTTCTGCTTTATGGCCACTCTAGAATCCTAGAGTTGGAAGAGACCTCGTGAGTCTTCCAAGAAGCAGGAAAATCCCATTCAAAGCACCCCTGATAGATGGCCATCCAGCCTCTGCTGAAAAGATTCCAAAGAAGGAGCCTCTACCACACTCCAAGTCAGAGAGTTCCACTGCTGAACAGCTCTCACAGTAAGGAAGTTCTTCTTAATGTTCAGGTGGAATCTTCTTTCCTGTAGTTTGAAGCCATTGCTCTATTGAAGCCTAGTTTTCAGGGCAGCAGAATACAAGCTTGCTCCCTCTTCTCTATGACTTCCTCACACATATTTGTACATGGCCATCATGTCTCCTCTCAGCCATCTCTTCTTCAGGCTAAACATGCCCAGCTTTTTAAACTGCTCCTTATCACAGATTTTCTGAGCAAGATTGATTCAGAGGGAGTTTGCCTTCGCCTTCCTCTGAGGCTGATAAAGAGCAAAGTGCCCAAGGTTACCAGTGAGTAGCCATAGCTAAGTGTATTTCCGGAGTCATAGGATGCATCTATTCTAGAGAATGAGTGCAATATGATGCCTGAGAGTTGTAGTCTGGTGAGGTATCAACACTCTTTGGTAGGAAAACTAAAGATCTTACAACAGCCATGATTTCCTAGCATTGAATGATGGCAGTTAAAGTGGTGTTGAACTGCATTAATTCTATGGTGTAGATCAGGCATGGGCAAACTTCAGCCCTTGAGGTGTTTTGGACTTCATTTCCCACAACTGAAGTTAGGAATTGAAGTGGGAGTTGAAGTCCAAAACACCTGGAGGGCTGAAGTTTGCCCATACCTGATCTACACCATATTTTGGAGGGCTAAAGTTTGCCCATGCCTGATCTACACCATAGAATTAATGCAGTTTAACACCACTTTAACTGCCATCATTCAATGCTAAGAAATCATGGCAGTTTGCTCATACCTGGTGTAGATACACCCTAGAATACAACCAGTCTTCTTATGATCTGGATCTTAAGCTCCTCACAATTTTAGCTAACTTTAACTGTTTGCCACTCTGGACAGTCTTGTTGCATTACTGTCACTTTGACATTATTTCCATCCCTGACCAGTCCACATTACGCATTGACCTCGACCACAACAGCTACCTTAATGTCTAACCTCCTTGCTTCCACAAGCTCCGCTGTTGACACACGCAAACACTAAACTCCACCAACTAAATCGTGTTTCTCATCAGCTTTCGTGCAACTCACTCACACTGGCAGGCACTGAAAAAGTGCCCGCAGACTCCCCACAAAGGCTGCACTAATACCTGTCCCCTCCCTGACGTGTCGGTTGACAGATCCAACCATTGAGGTGGTCAGCCCCATGAAGGACCTTACTGTTGACGAGGATGGCACGGCCGAATTCATCTGCCAGTACTCCCGGCCGGTGGAGGCCAAGTGGATGAAGAACGACCAGGAGGTCTATGCCGATGGCCGGCGGATAACCATTGAGCAGGACTGGAATGTGGCCAGGCTTAAAATCCAGCCAGCTCTTCCCACGGACACTGGCATCTATTCTTGCGAAGCCGGAGGCACCAAAGTGGTGGCCATGCTCGATGTCCAAGGTGAGATCTTCTATGGTGGAAAGAAGACTCTCATGTGAATAAAAGAGAGCTACTGACCTGGCCCAGCAGATTGTTTCTTTTTTTGTGGCTGCCATATTTTTCCAATCTATATTTCAATTCCTAGCTATTGAATCTACCATTTAATCTAAACTTCTCCTTCAGTTGCAGAGAAGGTCTTTCTGAACCCTTTGAGGTGATGCCCCTTGTTCAATTTAGCCTAAACATGTCCCCTTGGTTCGTGCAAAAGTTCCTTCCATTCTTGGACAATATCATATTCCAGTGTAATGTCTTTCCTCAGAAAGTCAGCTGAGCAATGAATCACTCCTAACTTTCATCTCAAGCATGGGTTCAGTTGAAAGACCTTAGACAAGTCTCCCTGAGCATCAACCTTCCTACCTGTAATATGGGAACTGTAACATGGCCTACCTTACAGGGCTGTTGTAAGGATAAATAAGAGAATGTATCCAAAGCCTCTGAAACACCCTTAATGCTGAATAATACTTTCAACTTTCTATATACTTTCTAAATAGTAACTTGGTATTGTTTTAGTAGATTTTGGCTGCTATCGTTATGTGATTGTTGTTTGGTTTTATATTGTTTTTACAGTTGTGTAGCTGTATGATTTTAACTTTTGGCTGTTCACTGCCTGTGGAAAGACCACAATTGTTGTTTATCAATAAAATGAGATGAAAGGTAATGAGTATGGAGAGGGTTAATGCATTTGTAACAACACACAACCTCTGTTATTGCACAATTTTCATTATCTGCATTGGTTGTTTGGACACATTATTGGATTTTCTTCAGAAGCCTACGTATTGTTCCTAAGGATGTTTTCATAGCCATCCTGACTGATTCTTTCAGCAATTCAAGAGAGGAATTAGGCTTGTTCAAAACATTTCATATTAAGCAAAAAAAGGAAACGGGATCTGCATTCATCTTGACATTGAATGACCTTTCTTGCTCCAAGGTGACTTGGACAACATTCAGCTTCTTTGTCAGTCCCTGATAGCTTTGTGTAGTTGACAAGTCATTTGAAGCTGCAGAAATGTGTCAATTTAGCATTGTCTGGTCACCACAAAAACTGTTCTAAAATAAGGAAGAGTTTAGCCATTGTTGTGAATGATTCCTGACTCTCTGTCCCCTTTATATGAACGTTACAGCAGTGTTCAAGATAGAAGAAGCAATATCATTGGTCAGGGGGTAATCAAGTTCAAGGCCACATCATTTCAGAGCTCTTTGTCAATGTTGAACCATATTGACTTATGAGTCAACCCATATAACTGCAGGTGATTTTTTTCAAAAATCTCCATTAATATCCAAAACTGTGGGTAACAGCAATCCCTATATTTTTATTATACTTTGGTGACCCTAGATCCCCTCACTGGAGGACTTAGGGCAAGTCTACACTGGTCAGTAAATCTGGGCCCACAAGCACTCCTAGAAGGGGAATATCTTTTGGAACAAATACTCAAGTCAAACTATGGATATTGAGTCCATCGATAAGGGGTTGCATTGCATTCAAAACTCAAAGTCTGCATTTCTAGAACGAGATGAGACCTCTCACCTAAAGAATTATGTCCAACTCTTCTTTGTGATCAGTCTGAGTTCTTCTGTTTCCTGGCTAATGCAGTGCCTAATTGGAACGAACACAAGGATTAATATCTTTCAAAATCATTTTTGTCTTTGAACAGCCAAGAACACCATCATCCAAAGCCTGGAGAATGTTGACGCCATGGAAGGCGGTGAAGCTCTGTTTGAATGCTACCTTTCCAAGCCAGAATGCTACAACTACAACTGGCTGATTGATGACGAACCAGCCAAAACCTCTGAGAACATCGAGATGGTTTATTTTGAAAATGGGCTCCGCCATCTCCTTCTCTTGAAGAACCTCACTCTGCAAGACAGCTGCAGGGTGACTTTCCAAGCCAGTGATGTGGTGACGTCGGCCTTCCTGACTGTGAAAGGTAATGACAACATGGACAGAAGCCCTTCTGGAATATATATGCACACCTTGAAGGCTGTTAGAAAGTGCCTTTCACAGTAGGTTTTTCTGGCAGATTGTGGATGTTGAGATATATCTAAATAACACCTTGAAGACTGTTAGAAAGTGCCTTTCGATCAAGTGCCCTATCTGGATTCCTGACTGTCAAAAGCGTATCATCTGCAAATAAGCTGATTTTAATTTTATTGTCCACTCCCATTCCCTGTATCTCCTTATCTTTCCTGTTTGCAGAGTCTAATAATTCCATAACTAAGATAAATAGTACAGAGAAAAGAGGATAACCCTGCTTTATTCCTTGCTTAATACTAAAAGCAGTACCCAAATAATTAATTATGACTTTAGCCCTGTTTTCTGAGCATATTTGTCTATTAATATGTTGAAAACCCTCTCCAAAACCATATTTTTTGAATCAGCGATTTCAACACTGTCCAACCCACTGAGTCAAAGGCTTTATATATATCCAGTGCAATAATGCCTCCCTGAGCTTTCTCATTTTTGGCACTCTCTTTAATGTTTATCAATTTGCGGACCAAGTCAGACATCTTTTGTGTAATGTAGTATGTGGCATGTGCTTTGAGAATTCATTGTGTCATTTCAAACCACTGCAATATAGTTGTACAATCCTTGAATATTGCCTAATATATAGGTGGCCCTCTATATTCATGGGTTCTGTATCAATAGATTTAAAATTATTAACAGAAGACGCTTACTTCTTGGGAGGAGAGCAATGTCCAATCTCAATAAAATAGTAAAGAGTAGAGACATCACACTGGCAACAAAGATCCACATAGTCAAAGCCATGGTATTCCCTGTAGTAACCTACGGATGTGAGAGCTGGACCTTAGGGAAGACTGAGCAAAGAAAGAGAGATGCTTTTGAACTGTGGTGCTGGAGGAAAGTTCTGAGAGTGCCTTGGACTGCGAGAAGATCCAACCAGTCCATCCTCCAGGAAATAAAGCCCGACTGCTCATTGGAGGGAAGGAGACTAGAGACAAAGTTGAAGTACTTTGGCCACATCATGAGGAGACAGCAAAGCCTAGAGAAGCAATTATGCTGGGGAAAGTGGAAGGCAAAAGGAAGAGGGGCCGACCAAGGGCAAGATGGATGGATGGCATCCTTGAAGTGACTGGACTGACCTTGAAGGAGCTGGGGTGGTGACGGCCGACAGGGAGCTCTGGCGTGGGCTGGTCCATGAGGTCACGAAGAGTCGGAGACGACTGAACTAATAAACATTATTATTATTATTATTATTATTATTATTATTATTATTATTATTATTATTGGTATTACCCTGCTTTATCTCTTTTGAAGGAGACTCAATATATATCCAGAAAGTAAACCTTGATTATGCTGTATGCTAAACACTATACGGATGTAGCCCCCTACCATTTCACAGATCCTCAGGCTCTCTCTGGCACTCATTTGAGTTGCTTGCTATTTTATAGTGTATAACACAGAAAAGCAAAAGAAAATCTTGGTGTTTTCATTTTTAGGCCTGTTCCTGGGACTATTTGGGGCATTGATTCAGATAATCACATTGATAGACCCCAACAGCTCTCGTTTCTTAGATATAGTCAGTGTGTTTTCTATGGGGAACTAGATGGTGACTAATAGATGGTACATGTTCTGTATCTCAAATACTAGAGTAAATAGCAAAAAAGTGGTGAAATTTTTGGAAGCAGCAGGTCAAATATATCCAGGAACAGATCTAACATTTAAGGTACCAACATGTGTTTCGGCCAGTATAATAGGGCTTGAGCACCTATGGATTTTGGTATCCATTCCGGAACCAAACTCAAGTGGATACCAAGCTAGTTTGGCATCCTTTGGTGTCTTCACAGCCATTCAATTTTCCTTTCAACAGCTCCAAGGTTCCACTTAACCTTTTCTTCCTTCTTTCTTTGCCTAAATTTCAGGATGGCGTCTTGAATTCTTGCAGTCGTTGACAGACACCACAGTCACCGCTGGGGACCAAGCGGTCTTCACTTGTGTTTTAAGTGAAGCAGTGCCAGTCCATGAAGTTGCTTGGTACATTAATGACGTGGATATCCAATCAGATGAAACCTGGGGGATCCAGGCAGAAGGAAATACGTATACACTCATACTCAAGAAAGCTCAACCACATCATTCTGGGGAAGTGACCTTTGCTGCGAGGGACGCCATTGCATCTGCCAAGTTATCCATCATAGGTAGGTGGTGGGGGAAAAACCAAGCTCTTGATGATTCTGTCTTAGCCATGTTCAACAATATTGGTAGGTCATGATATAGCTGTCTCTGTGTCATGCCCCCCTCTTTCTTTGCTTGGCATATTCTGTGGAATTTTAGATCAAAGATGTTTATTTCTTTCATCAACTCCAGTATAACTTGCATGATATACAGGACTGCTGTATATGCCAGTTTAGATGCTTGGAGTCCAGATGATCTGCCTCAACAGCCTAATGCAGATCTATTGGGTGGCCCAAGCATTGCATCAATTTTCAAAGATTTGTTCTGGTTGCAGCAAATCCATTTGAAAATTAGAGTCTGTTTTGGTTTAACATCCTAACAAATCCAGAATTAGATTCAAGTGGAAAAGGTTGTTGGTTTATAAAAAGAAGAATTGCATCATGGTTTTGTCTGACTTAACAGCAATGGTGTTGATTTGGAAAGGAACTCAAGCAAGAAACGTCAAGGGCCCCATGGTAAAGGGTTGGGTGTTTGTGAGTCTTTTTGTTGGCCTCTCCTTATCTCTACTAGATATCAGATTTTGGAGTTGGAGCAGATCAAAATGGTCCTTGGAGTATATAAAACACATCTTTGAATGATCCAAAATCTATAGTGAAACAGAAACAGGCAGTCTTTGGGTTTGGCAAGTGATGGAACATAGTACATAGAGGGATCCTATGAGTCCAGCATTGAACCATTGCTGTGAGAGGAATATCATTCAGTGTGAACATCTTGTCCACAGTTCCCAAAGGAATGCTAGTGCTATAAGGAGTGAATACACACTGAACAATCAAATCAGTTTGGTTCCGCTTTAACTTCCATCTTCCATCCTTGGGGATATCTAGGACTTGTAGTTTGGAGAGAGGCACACAAATTCCTTGCTAAAGAAAGTCTAGCGCTGCTCCCTTGAACTACAGCACTAGACTTCCTTGGAGTAGAACATTATTTCAGCAAACTATGTCTTCCTGAATCCCATAGGCTGGAAGCAGGATGATTAAAGTGGTATCTAGTTTTTCCTCTACTTCATGATGGTTTTCAATATGTTACTTGGTTTATGATCCCTTTGCACACTCACCTTATACATCCCTGGAATTATGTTGTGCCCTCAGCCCTCCCTGACCCTCCTGAGGAGCCGGAGATCTTAAGTAAGACCAGCCATTCGGTCACCTTGTCCTGGTTCAAGCCACTCAACAATGGGGGCAGTGACATCCTCGGCTACCAGGTTGAAAGGAAAAGCCCAGGCAGTGACTGGCAGCCATGCCACACCGGAGTCATCCCCAGCACAGAGTTTGTGGCGGACAGTCTCACAGCGGGACAGACCTACAGATTCCGCATTTCCGCTGTGAGCAAAGGGGGTGCTGGCAAGCCAGTGCATTTGCCTCAAAGTGTGCAGCTAGGTGAGAATTAGAGGCATCCCGCTCGGTCCTTAGACTTGCGCTATAGTCTGATATTTTGCATGATGTGTGCATTACCCTCCTGGAGAAAGACCTGCCTAGTTCTAAGCAATTTCTGGCCATGAGCTGAGTTTATAAGAAGCTGTATCCAACAATCTATGGATGAGCAAGACTACAATTTCATGGAATTGGAAGAGAGTCCAAGGGTGATCCAGCACAACCTGGTTTTGCCATACAAGTATATATAACACTGTTCAATGGAGAAAAAGTTGCGGGCCTGAAAATAGTTGTTCTTTTATGATTTTGGGGTGCTGAAAACAAAAATGACATTTAAAAATGTATATTGGCTCTAGTTTTTATGATATAAGCAATCACGTGATCAGGTATGGTTGAAAAAATGCATGTTGCGACTTACACTATGGAAGATTCTAGAATATTCTAGAAAGTTTGATGACGCAGTATTAGTGCCGTGTGCAAAAGCCAGAAAGCCCTATATAAGGCCAGACTTTTGAACGGTGAGGGTCAGTCAGTTGAAGACTGAGACAGTATCGTTAAACATTGTTTTACATTGTTCTTTTTACTGTAGTTATGCCTCGCACGTGTGTAAATAAAGCACTATGGAAAAAAGATATCAAGGCAAATGGACTCCGTCAATGCTGTCAGACTACTGCTGGAGCATTGCAAGAGGGAATCCTTTCCTTGAATACAAAAGAAAAGTCAAGAGAAGCAAACAGGATATAAACTAAAGTCACGATTAAAGCGACCTTTAAACTTTCAGACTTTTCAACTGCATTAGGCCTACTCATATAGTTTCTTGCTGCACAAAAATAAACAATAGACTAATTAAATAAATATTTCTCATGTATAAACTATTGGCAACATAATTTGACTAAAATTTAGTAAATATTCATGGTTTATATACATGCAGTAAGGTTAGGCGCATTATCATAATATTAACGAATTACCTATTGTGGAGAAAATTGAAATAGCTGTTGCATAAAAACCAGAGCCAATTAACACATTTAATTATTATATTTGAATTCAGCATGTTAAATTTATTAAGAAATGGCACATTTCGTTTCCAAAACTGAGAAAAACTGAAAATTTGTAGAACAGTGTAATCAATGGAGGCTCCTTCTTTGGAGGCTTTTAAACAGAGACTGGATGGCCATCTGTTGGGGGTGCTTTGAGTGCAATTTTCCTGCTTCTTGGCAGAATGGGGTTGGACTGGATGGTCCATGAGGTCTGTTCCAACTCTATGAATCCAAGTCCTCCCAACAGGTGCCCATCTAGGCTCTGTTGAAAGCCTTCAGAGAAAGAGGTTCTACCAGAAAACAAAGCAGTACTGGATTCCACTCTCTGACCTCCAAGAAGTTCTTCCTAACGTTTTTGTGGAATCTCTTTTCCTGTAGTTTGAATCTGTTGCTCCACATCTTAGTCTCTGAAGCTGTAGAAAGCACAGTGATTCCCTTCTCAATATGATATCTTCCCAAATATTTAAAGAAGGTCCTCATGTCCCCTCTCACCCTTTTCTTCTCCAAGCTAACCAGAGCTAACTCCCTAAGCTACTTCTTTTTGGGATTCATGTTTTCCAGATCTTTGTTCTAAACTTCCAGGGGGATAAGTGAGTGATAGCAATAGGTCTTCCATGATAATTTGCTGCAGAGAAAAAAAATACGATCATGGGTCACATCAAAATGAACTTTCTCTCTCACAGCTACTAGTGTGCCTTGTTGTGTTTGATACTACGTCAAAGATTGTGTTTCTCCTAACAAAAACAATTGTGCATCATCTTGGCATGGTGTGTTGAAATACTGACATGCTCCTGCTAAAGTCTGCTTCTTCACAGATGAGATTGGTGGAGTTGTGAGGATTTCTTCATACAATCTTTTATTTATTTATTATTTTATTTATTTACAGTATTTATATCCCACCCTTCTCACCCCACAGGGGACTCAGGGTGGATTACAATTCAAATATCCATGGCAAACATGCAATGCCAGTTAGATATACTACATATATAGATAGACACAGAGGCAATATAACAATCCAGCTTTTCCGGCTTCATGAGGGTATGCTTGATTCCGGCCACAGGGGGAGCTGCCGCTTCACAGTCCACTTGTGACACTGAGTCCTTTGATGGAGTACTTCCTCATTCTTCTGCACACTGCTGGAAGGTTTTATGGAGTCATAAATTAGTTAAATTAGCCTCCCTGCATATAGCGGTACCTAAATTTCCTACTTGACAGATGCAACTATCTTGCAGGCTGCATAGGTCAACATCAAGCTAGACTATTAATGGCTGGGAGCTCACTCCAACCTGGGCTGGCTTTGAACTCATCACAATTATGTAGTCTCTTTCCGCATTCTGATTTTAAAAAGACATTTGCTAGGTCTTGGTCAGGCTGAAAAAGTCAGATATGTGTCCCATGAAAGCTCAGACTAGGATAATATTAGTCTTTCTGTGCCATAATATTCTTTATGACTGTCTTCCATGAAAGCGGAAACTCTCAGTTTTGCGACATTCCTTATTTCTTCTCTCATAAAGACAGCCTGCATTCCTAGCAAGACAAACCTACTTCTGAAAACAAGTTGCTAGGTTTTTGTTGGATGGCCTTCTTTGATGTTGCCTTGTTTGCTGAAGTGCAAAACCATAATAGTGTGGAATAAATCCATTCTTCTTGATGCATCCAGTTCCAGAGGCAATTTCCGTCACTCGGCCATTGGTGGACAAGTCTGCCGTGGAAGGGGAGAAGACTCGCCTGGAGTGCGAATTATCCAGCGAAGCCCAAGATGTAACTTGGTTCAAGGGAAAAGAACCGGTCCAGCCAGGAGGGAGATACGAAATCATCTCGGAGGGCAGGAAACAAACTCTCGTCATTCATAGTTTCAAACCTGATGATCAAGGGTCCTATACCTGCATGGCATCTCCAGATGTCAAAACATCTGCCAGTCTTTCTGCAGAAGGTATGTGAGCAGTTATTTGTCAATATTCTTGTTGCGTTTCCCTGCATTTCCCTTTGACAGTCCTTTGATGGAATAACAAAACTTTAATTTCATATTAGTCTCCACAGTGTCGATGCTGAAAGCAGTCGCTGAGGAAACACCAAAACCTGCAGCTTTGGGGGAAGCAGAAGATGAGCAGACGCAGCCCAGCTTACCACCTGAAGCTGCTCAAGAGGGTGACCTTCACCTTCTCTGGGAAGCTCTGGCCAAGAAGCGTCGGATGAGTCGGGAGCCAACCTTGGACTCAATCAGCGAACTGCCAGAAGAAGATGACAAACTTCAGAAACGCAAGAAGGAGGAAGCTGAGATGGGACAGTACTACTCCGAAGAGTATTCCACATGCGATGAATCAGCCAAAGCAGGAGAAGCCGATTTCTCTCTCACCAGTTCAGATGATGAGTCCAGATCTGGCACACCTTCCCTGATCACGTATCTTAAAAAGGCGGGCACACCCGGTGTTAGTGTCACCACCAAAGTCCAGACCATTTCCACTGAGAAAATCTATAAACAGTGGGAGATGACTGGCACCGAGGCAGCTCCTCTGCCTAAGCCAACCGAACCAGAAGTGATGGAAGGAGATTTGGATGATCCTTCCATGGCTCAGGCAGCTGTGAAGATCCAAGCTGCTTTCAAAGGGTATAAAGTGAGGAAGGAGATCAAGCAGCAAGAATGTCCAGTGTTTGTGGAGACCTTCAAAGACTTCTTTGGTGAACCAGGGGGTAACCTACACTTTGAATGTGTGGCCCAAAGCAAGACTGATATGAAAGTCCGCTGGCTGAAAGATGGCAATGAAATCTTTGATGGGCGCCATTACCACATTGACATTTACAGTGATGGGACCTTTTCCTTGATCATCACTGGCCTGGAAATGGACGATATGGGCAAATACACGTGTGAAGTGTCCAACAAGTTTGGCAGCATCTCCCATAGTGCCAAGGTGACAGTGAAGCCCCCTCCCCAAGTGCCGGTACGCAAGCACAAGCCTGCCAAAAAGCTTCCTGAGAGTGAGACAGAGAGCTCCTCTGGCAGTGAGTTGGATGATGCCTTCCGCAAAGCAGGAAGGAGGCTTCATAAGCTGTTCAAATCCAAAATCTCCACCGAGATCTCAGACGTGGAGGAGGAACTCTTTGTCAGTGCTGATGAAGGAGAGATAGAGGTGGTTGACCATCAAACCTACCGTGAAGATGAAAGATACATCTACATCAAGTTTGAAATTATGTTTGAGGCCAAAACAGCCGCGAACCGGTTTAGAGAGATGTTCGCCGCTATGGGCATCCCTGTTGAGATTGACATCTTGGATCAGGGCCCCAAGAAGATAGAGCTGCGTATTGGGAAAGCCACCCCACCTGCGCCAGGTCAACTCAAGAGCCTGGTGAAACGGCCACCACCTCCTTTGCTAACATCTGATACTGGTAAGTGGAAAAATCAAAGCTTTTTACTTGGAAGGTGGCTATCAGATGTTAGGGACTTTGAAGATGACCAACAAGATTCCTAAGTTGCGTAACTGGGTTCTCAGAATACCATAAAAAAAGTTAACATCCTCACCCGCAATGTTGTATAATGGCTTGAGGACAAATGGGATTAGAACCTGTTATGTTTATATTCCACACATGATCTCCATAAAGGTATTTATTTGTCGTGTCAGAGCAACCAGTCCATTATGTTACATTTCTAACAGCACAGAGCAAACAAACAGACAGAATACAAAACTTGTGAGTCTGGTATTTGGTTAAATGTCCTTTGACCAGTATCTGGCCACTTGGAGTGCTTCCGGTGTTGCTGCAAGAAGGTCCTCCATTGTGCATGTAGCAGGGCTCAGGTTGCATTGCAGCAGGTGGTCAGTGGTTTGCTCTTCTCCTCACTCACATGTCGTGGATTCCACTTTGTAGCCCCATTTCTGAAGGTTGGCTCTGCATCTCGTGGTGCCAGAGCACAGTCTACTCAGTGCCTTCCAGGTCGCCCAGTCCTCTGTGTGCCCAGGGGGGAGTCTCTCATTTGGTATCAGCCATTGGTTGAGGTTCTGGGTTTGAGCCTGCCACTTTTGGACTCTCGCTTGCTGAGGTGTTCCATAAAAGTGAAAGCAATGTTATTTGGTGTGGTTTCCCAGTTTTACTTAATGACAGGGCTGGGAAATCATTGGACTATAGATGACACTTTTCTGTGTAGCTTATCATATATATTCATGTATAAGTCAACTTCATGTTTAAGTTGGGGGTGGTTTTTGGGTCCAAAGTTATAGGTTTTGATATAACCCCTAGATAAATCAAAAGTCATACTATGGATTGGGGAAAGTGCCAGCACTGTTTCAGAATTGGGTTCAGGTTTGAACAACTGTTTCTATGGGTCCAGGCTAGGATAAAAGTTCGAGGTTATCTTATTTGCTATGATTCTTCACTGTGAGATGAGATGAGAATGATTAATCATCATTGCAATAATTCCAGCTCCTGTCTTCATAACTGAACTTCAAAACCAAGAGGTGCAAGATGGTTATCCGGTCAGTTTTGACTGTGTTGTTATTGGCAAACCAATCCCTACTGTCCGGTGGTTCAAGGATGGGAGAGTCATTGAAGAGGATGACCACTACATGATCAACGAGGATCAAGAAGGCTGTCACCAGCTGATCATCACAGCTGTCGTCCCACTTGACATGGGCGTCTACCGGTGCCTGGCTGAAAACAGCATGGGAGTCTCTTCGACAAAAGCTGAGCTACGAGTGGACTGTGAGTTCTGCTACAGGGATCGGGCAGAGGACAATGCAGAAGAGAGAATGGCATCTCAAACAATATGACATGTTAGATAGGAGTACAAACAGTCCACCACATTTGTGGGTTCGCTTTTTGCAGATTTGATGATTCAAGGATTTGATTAAAATGTTCTCTAGGAAACTCTAGGTCCTGCAGAGCCACACTGGAAGACCTAGAGATTCTCGAGAACTTGGCCATAGAATTAATCAGAAGGACCTAGAGAGGGTTGTGGTTTTTCCAAATTTGCAATTTTTCATGTTCACAGGGCTCCTGTGCCCTTTGCCCCTCTTTATGTGGAGGACTCACGGTAAATGAACAGGATACTAATAATTTGGAGGGGAACAACAGAATCGCAATGAGTTCAGAGCACAAGGCTTTGGAGAAATAGCGTGTAACCACTGGAATGGTTTTGGGATGAATGCAAATCTCTTGGTGAATGCAGTTATACAACTGCATATTGCAGGTATGAGCAAACTTCGTCCCTCCAGATGTTTTGGACTTCAACTCCCACAGTTCCTTCGGGCTCTTAGGAATTGTGGGAGTTGAGGTCCAAACAGCTGGAGGGTTGAAGTTTCCCCAAGCCTGGCATATAGCATTTATATATAACTGTATTTGGTTTCCAACTAAAGATGGCAAACATTCAATGCCATAATATCTCCCCGGGGAAATAGGGCGGATTATAAATAAAGTTTTATATTATTATTATTATTATTATTATTATTATTATTATTATTATTATCATCATCCTATAGACCCCGGTGGCACAGTGGGTTAAAGCGCTGAGCTTGTTGACTGAAAGGTCACAGGTTCGATTCTGGGGAGCGGCGTGAGCTTCCGCTGTCAGCCCTAGCTTCTGCCAACCTAGCAGTTCGAAAACATGCAAATGTGAGTAGATCAATAGGTACCGCTCCAGCAGGAAGGTAACGGCACTCCATGCAGTCATGCTGGCCACATGACCTTGGAGGTGTCTATGGACAATGCCGGCTCTTCGACTTAGAAATGGAGATGAGCACCACACCCCAGAGTCAGACATGACTGGACTTAATGTCAGGGGACAATCTTTACCTTTTTATCCTATAGCCTATTATATATATATTGGAAGAATTTCTCTCAATCAGTTTCCCAGCTCAAGTTACATTCTTCCTCATTCTGTTCTTCAAGCAGCTGCATTAATTTCAACACAAAATTCCTTTTGAAAAAAACATTCTGAAATGTGTGGATACAAGAACAAAAAGGCAATTGAGGTTGTAGACCTCTCCATACTGCTGGCTATACAAAAATCAACATTACCAAAACCATGGACTTTCCCCTTTCTTTTCTATTCTTTAGTAACCAGCACAGATTATGATACAGCTGCAACAGAGACTTCATCCTATTACAGTGCCAAAGGGTACCTCTCCAGGTAAGCAGTGACTATATTCTGGAAAAGTTCTACGTTACGTTAATATGGTTTGGGAGAAACTGCCATTGGGATACTTTCTTAGACCCCTCAGTCAAGATATACAAGTTAAGTGGCGGCAAAAAAAAGCCAATGGGATTTTGGCCTGCATCAATAGGAGCATAGATCTAGGGAAGTCATCCTCCCCATGCTCTATTCCGCTTTGGTTAGACCACACCTGGAATATTGTGTCCAATTCTGGGCACCACAATTCAAGAGAGATATTGACAAGCTGGAATGTGTCCAGAGGAGGGTGACTAAAATGATCAAGGGTCTGGAGAACAAGCCCTATGAGGAGCGGCTTAAGGAGCTGGGCATGTTTAGCCTGAAGAAGAGAAGGCGAACTGAGATAGCCATGTATAAATATGTGAGAGGAAGCCACAGGGAGGAGGGAGCAAGCTTGTTTTCTGCTTCCTTGGAGACTAGGACGCGGAACAATGGCTTCAAACTACAAGAGAGGAGATTCCATCTGAACATGAGGAAGAACTTCCTGACTGTGAGAGCCGTTCAGCAGTGGAACTCTCTGCCCCAGAGTGTGGTGGAGGCTCCTTCTTTGGAAGCTTTTAAGCAGAGGCTGGATGGCCATCTGTCAGGGGTGATTTGAATGCAATATTCCTGCTTCTTGGCAGGGGGTTGGACTGGATGGCCCATGAGGTCTCTTCCAACCCTTTTATTCCATGATTCTATGATTCTAAGTATTCTTTATCCAAAATGCTTGGGGCCAGAGGTACATTAAATTTCAGGGTTTAACATTTTTTTTGGAACACCTCTATTTGCCTAAACATAAATAATGAGATATCTGATGGTTGAATCCAAGTGTAAACATGACATTCATTTGTGTTTCATAGATGCCTTATACACATAGACTAAAGGTAATTTTACACAATGTTTTGATAATTTTGTGCCGAAAACGAGGTTTGGTATGTTAAACCATCAGTTTACAAAGATGGCACTATGTCAACCATCCATAGGAACAATTGTAGATTCTCAAATTCTATACAAGGAATGATCAACTTGTGTGCATGTGTTTCATACCTGTTTACTAGCAAGGCCTGAGGGTTGTATCTCAAAAGTGTATTTTTCTCTCCCTTCCTGAGCCAGCCGAGAACAAGAAGGAGTAGAATCCATGACGGAAGAGGAACAGTTGCCTCAAATCCTGGACGAACTTCATGACATTCATGTAGCTCCTGGAGCTCGCTTTGCCAAATTCCACCTGAAGGTTAAAGGTAACAGAAAACTTCCATGCCAGTGTTAATAATAATAATAATAATAATAGTAATAATAATAATAATCTTTATTTATACCCTTCCACCATCTCCCCAAAGGGGACACAAAGTAGCTTACATGAGGCCAAGCCCAGCGATACAGTACAGCAACACAAAATATAAACAACAAAATAACATCACAATAAAATAAATAAACCAATCAAGTAAAATAAACAGTACCCTACCCTACCCTTTTCCTAAGACCCTTCTCCCCCTTTTTCCCTTCCCGTCCTGTTTTTATGTATTTAAAAAATTTCAATAAAAATTTAAAAGATTAAAATAAACAGTACAAATTAACATAATAGAAAATAAAACACATTGGGCAGGCAAAATGCAGGACATAAAATCAAAAAACTCTGGATGAGATAGCAATGAAAAGGTACATTTTGTTGCAGCTCAGAGTCGAGTCACCTTGCTCCAAACACCAAACCGCACGAAGGCTGAAGATTTTGTAGTTTATCGAAGAAAGGAAAAGTCTTAAATGTAAAAAGTAAGTTTCAAAAGTTCAATAGCAAACAGCATGAAGCATAATCCAAAGAACATTGATCAAACAAGATTCCATGACAGCAAGACTGAGTCCCAGGAAGCCAAGAACATTGCCCAAAAGCCAAGGCAATCCAAAGAAGTTACCAGGTTGTTTGCAGAAGTTGCACTGACAAAGATTTCCCTTCAAACACCCCGTTTAATATACTTTCCCAGCATGAATGCATTCCGTTGACCCCTAACCTCCCTCTTGCTAGCAAGCTTTGCACTGCGGAAAACTTTGAATTGTAAGCGATTCTCCCTATCTGGATCTCCAGAGCTCTCAAGGTTGGATAGCTCGTTAAGGTCCTGAGAATCGTCAGGCTGGGAGCCATCCTCCTCAATCTGCACCTGGCTAGTTTCACTAACATCAGAAACATCATCTGAAACATTCCTTCCCATGGGAAACTGAACATTCTCAGATTTTTCTTCAAACACAACAGGAACATCTTCATGAATCTGAATCCCATTATTTTCTGCCTGCGGTTCCAGCTGAACCACCACACATTTGTGGGGGAGGAGCTCATAGGGAACTGAACAGTGGAATTAGACTTTCAATAAGGTGGGGGAAAGTGCAATATGAGGGAAACAGTATAGGTGAAACAACAGGACTGGAATATATGGTCACTCTCCAAAGGCATATCAGAAAAGCCAAGTCTTTAGATCTTTCTTAAAGGCTGCTAGGGTGGGGGCTTGCCTAATCTCACCAGGTAGCGAGTTCCATAGCCACAGCGGAGAAGGCTCTCTCCCTCGTTCCCACGAGTTGTGCCTGTGATAGAGGAAGAGGTGAGAGGAAGACCTCATCTACGTGTTTGTATAGCGGTTGGATTGTTGATAAGATGTCCTTAATTTTCCAAATCACAACAACCTATTTCTAAAGACAGACTTTTTCCAGCTTGTGAGAGAGAAGTAGTTGGATCCATGCTTTATATTCATAGCTAATGAATATGATGATATGATAATGAGCCCCCGGTGGCGCAGTGGGTTAAACCCCTGTGCTGGCAGGACTAAAGACCGGCAGGTTGCAGGTTCGAATCCAGGGAGAGGCGGATGAGCTCCCTCTATCAGCTCCAGCTCCTCATATGGGGACATGAGAGAAGCCTCCCACAAGGATAATAAAAACATCAAAATCATCCTGGCGTCCCCTGGGCAATGTCCTTGCAGATGACCAATTCTCTCACACCAGAAGTGACTTGCAGTTTCTCAAGTTGCTCCCGACATGACAAAAAAAATCATAGCTAATCTTTTGGGGAGGGGAATAAGGAGTTGTTTAGTTCAGTGATGGATCATGGGAGTGATTATTGGTTTCTTAGGACTTTATTGCACAAATCTGAAATTCCAAAAAGGCATACTGTCAATGGTAAAGGATACATCCTGGGTTGAGGAACCTCGATATTGCACAGCTCTTCAGTTGCACCAGTTTCCAAATTCATTGTCCTGCAATCATACTTTTGCATACCCTTGTAATCCCACACAAATGCTATCCTGTTTTTTTATTTTTTGGAGAAGGTTAACAATTTGAAAAAAAGAGCAAATATAACTATGTCATATAAAGCAAATGGAAAGCTGACAGTTTAGGAATAGTGAGGTGGAAGGGGGACAGGGAAAGAGGAGGAAAGTCTTTGTGACGGTGCGAGTGGCGCCACCTATGTATAGAACTGTTAGTTGCAAGGTTTAAACTGTTGTATCATGCTTAATCCTGCCCCATTTACCCTGCTTATGTATAGCTGTATGGATTGGTTACTTATAGCTGTCAATCAGTACTGTTTGGCTCCACCTCTTCCTACAGGAGGGGAGAGCTTCCTTTCTTTTCATTCTGCCATCAGAGTTTATACCAGATGGACGTGAGTAAGAGACTTCACTTTAAAAGACCCTAATTTAAATTACCTCAGCATCGGTTCTGAGGTTTTTTACCCTTGAGACTTGTGCTTCATGTTCAGACCAACCTGAATGACGTTGGAAGTCTCAAGCGCCTTCAAACAGGTTCTTTTGGCACCAAAGGAAGATCCTGAGTCTTCAAAACATAGGCCATCTGAACTGGGGTTGTGGTTTGCTCTGGCATTCACAGCCATTGAGGAAAGAGGAAACTTGGTGAGGCTTCTCAGCTTCAAACACCTTGGACCCAGGACTAATTGAGACTCTAACGTATATTTTCCTTCACCCCTCTGAAGTTTCCAGCTCATTGCTTTAAGAAATAACTCTTTGTGATCAATAAAACTTATTTTGAGTTATTTACAGCGTTTTGGGTTTTTAGGAGTTCCAGTTTCCTATAGGAGGGCAAGAAGCAATCCTTTGGGGGAAAGATGCCACTTCCATCCCTCCTTCATTAAGAAAAATAGCCCCCAAGCGCGACGGCACAGTCTTGCTATCTGGTGTCCTTTCATTGCTGTCATACTGGTACAGAAGTGCAGGAGTTCCATCACACTGAGATAGGTGATGGGAACATTATGTGGTTGCAGTCTATTGGCAGATTTTGCCCATTAATATTTAGGGTTGAGATAACCATGATTAGGAGGTAGACCAGTAATGGGATGGACACAGTGTCCTGTGATAAGAACCATCACCAAAAGAGACGATCAAACTGCAATGCCACTTTGCCTGCCTTGTGCAATAAAGTTCTTAGTGTCATATAGTGAAAATGGAAAAGTCTGGAGCAGTACTTTGTTGCCATCTTTTCCCTTCTTGTATCTAATCCACATCTCAACTTTTTTTTGCCATAGGTTACCCAGAGCCTAAGCTCTACTGGTTCAAAGACGGCCAGCCATTGCATGTGTCGCAACGACTGCTGAAGACCGACAAGAGAGAGTTTCATGCTCTTGAAATTCTTAATGTCACAAAGGAGGATGCTGGTGAATACTCTGTATTTATTAGCAACTCGGCTGGTTCTGCTTACTCAGCTGCCAGATTGGTTGTCAAAGGTGAGTATAATAAGTGATATAAAAAGTTGCGTTTTTCATTTAATTTTAGTTGTTAAGTTATATTTGGCTTTTATATGTTGTGCTGTAAATTTTTGTTATTATGAGTGTATTGTTATTGTGTTCAGGCATTGAATGGTTGCCTTTTATGTTTGGAATCTGCCCTGAGTCCCTCCAGGGAGATAGGCAGAATATATATATATATATATATA